AAAACAGAATGTCAGACATCCTGACACTCTGAGAGCTGGATCTGTCTCAAAGACTTTCCAAGTAAAAATCAAGGGTGACGCGCTGACAGGATACCAGCCTCTGTGAAGTCATTTCAGTATTCCCTTGCTTTGTTAGTCCTCACAAAATACATTCATCTCTCACTTTTCATGGTTAAAATCCATTCACCACTGTTCAGCTTATCTGACCAGCCTGTCTATTTTGTCATGCAATCAAATGTCTAAAATCCCACGCCACTGTTTGAAGAAGAGCAATGCTCTGCCAAACATCCCTTTAAAGGATTAACTGGTTCATTTGGCTAATTTTTAAAAAGTTTTTAGGACATTACAATTTAGGGTATAAAAGCATCCTAATATTGTTTTTGGCCTGGAGGTCTGTGTTCCAGTGGGATCAGTGCTGGGTCTTTTTGTTTGTCACTTCTACAAATGATTTAGCTGAGAACATAGAAAGCACAGCAAGTCTGCAGATGATACCAAAATTGATGGTACAGTGGACAGTGAAGGAGGTTATCTAGATTACAAAGAGATCTTGATCAATTGGGTCAAAGGTCTGAAGAGTGACAAATGGAGTTTAATTTGGATAAATACCAGGGACTGCATTTTGGTAACACAAAGACAGGTTTATACAATTAAAAGTAGGGCCTTGAGCAGTGTTGTAGAACAGAGAGACCTAGGGGTTCAGATACATAATTCTTTGAAGTTTACATCACCTATAGATTGGGTGGTTAAGAAGATGTTTAGCATGCTTGCCTTCATTGCTCAGACCTTCGAGTGTAGGAGTTGGGCATTATGCTGTGATTGTATAGGACGTTGGTGGGGTCTTTTCTGGAGTACTGTGTCCAGCTCTGGTCTAGGAAGGATATTATTAAGCTAGAGAGGGTTCTGAAGATATTTACCAGGATGTTGCCAGGAATGGTAGGTTTGAATTATAAAAATAGGTTATAAAAATAGACTTTTTTCACTGGAGCATAGGAAGCTGAGGGGTGACCTTATATAGAAGATTATAAAATAATGAGGTGTATAGATAAAGCGATTGGCAAGCATCCATAAGACCATAAGACACAGGAGCAGAAATTAGGCCATTCAGCGCATTGTGTCTGCTCTGTCATTCAGGGCTAAGTTTCTCAACCCCATTCTCCCGCTTTGTTCCTGTAACCCTTGATCCCCTTGACAATCAAGAACCTATCTATCTCGGTCTTAAATATACTCAATGACCTGGCCTCCACAGCCGTCTGAGGCAGTGAGTTCCATAGATTCACCACTCTCTGGCTTAAGAAGTTTCTCCTCATCTCCTTCCCTTTACTCTAAGGCTGTGTCCTCAGGTCCTAGTCTCTCCTACCAATGGAAACATCTTCCCAACATCCACTCTGTCCAGGCCATTCAGTATTCTTTAAGTTTCAATTAGATCCCCCCTCATCCTTCTAAACTCCATCGAGTATAGACCCAGAGTCCTCAAACATTCCTCATATGTTAAGCTTTTCATTCCTGGGACCATTCTCATGAACCTCCTCTGAACCCAGTCCAGGGTCAGTACATCTTTCTTGAGATATGGGGTCCAAAACTGCACACAATACTCTAAACTCCAACCTCCAGAACTAATGTGTCTTTTCCCGAGGGTAGGAGATTTCAAGACTAGGCAGAATATTTTTCGGTGAGAGGAGAAAGATTTTAAAAAGACAAGGGGCATTTTTCTACACAGAGAGTGGTTTGTGTGTGAAATGAACTTCCAGAGGAAGTGGTGGATGCAAGTACGGTTACAATGTTAGGAGACATTTAGATAAACACATGAATAAGAAATGATTGGAGGGATATGGGCCAAGTGCAAGCAGGTGGGACTAGTTTAGTTTGGGATTATCATTGGTATGGACTGTTTGGGCTGAAGGGTGTATTTGCATGTTGTATGGCTCTATGACTCAATGGAAGCTAACAAGTAAGGAAGTCAATATTTACTGGGAAGTGAGGCATGAAACTCTTGTTTCTATTGTGCATAAATGCAAGTTATTCCCTTTAAATTCATTGAGCACCTTGTTCAATGTGAGCACTTGTTCATCAATAAATGTTGTTTATATTGTGCCTTCAATATTTAATATTAAACAATCTTATCAACATAACTGAACTGGACTTACTATTTAAATACATTGGCTACAAGAGTAAGTCAGAGACTAGAAATTATGCAGCGAAAAGCTCACCTCCCCATAGACTGCCCACCATCCACATGGCATATGTCAGGAGTGTGATGGAAAACTCCCCAGTTGCCTGGATGGGTGCAGCTGCAGAAAAATTCAAGAAGCTTGGTACCATCCAAGACAAAGCAGAATTCACTTCCTCCAGGACTAATATGCCATGGCAACATTGTCATTTACAACATGCCCTACAGCAACTCACCAAAGCTCCTCCGAGAGCTGTGAAGGAACGATGACATATTTCTGAACCAGGATGGTAAGTGGCTTGGAGGAGAACAGGGATGTTTGGAAAATAACTACTAACAAACTTCATTTTATGCCCATGTGGTCAGTTAAAAGACAGCATGTATATACAGGAGTCTGACTCAATAACTGATTTACTGCCTTAAGCTTCCAGTGGCCGCCCGTGACTTCAAAATCAAAATAACGGCAACACTGCTTCAACCGTTGGTCGCGCGCAAGACCAGGTAGGGCGCACGCGCACCCGGCGGACATGCGCAGTGAGATTGCTGAAGCGGGCGGAGGCGGTGTCTGCCGGGGACTGACCCTCGCTAGCTCTCTAAGGGAGGTGGCGGCGGCAGCAGCAGCAGAGTCACCAAGCCCCGGCCTCCAATCGTTATGGGATATCTCAAACACATCTCTCCGATCAGGTAAGAGGCCGTTGATCTTCTGAGTGCAAAGAGGGAAGGGAGTGGAATGGAAGGAGACAGAACGAGATATTGGGGAGGGAGACTGGAAAGGGGCGGGAGGAAAGGGTGGGAATCGGGTATTTTGGGGGGGGGACGGGGATGGGTAGAGGAGGGGGACCGGGTGTTTCGGG